GGGGGGGGCCTGGCGCTGTGTCCACCCCTGCTGTACCCGTGAGTGAAGCATCCCTCGGCGCCCTCCCCTCCCCTGCACCCTCAAGTGTCTCAACGGCGACAGCGGCCTGCTCCTGTTTGGAGTCGAGGGGTGCTCCCTGGCGTCTGCACACCCCCAAGCCCCTTGTCGGCCTGGCGTGGCGCCGCCAGATCACGCGGCAGCTCTCCCTGGAAGACTCGGAGCCGCCTCAGAGTGCCCGAGACGGCAGCCCGCGCCTCTCCCCACACTCACGTCTCCGCTGTTCCGGACCCGGGTTGCTTTGCGGGGCGTGGCTCTGATTGCGCCTCCTGGTGCTCAGCGGTGGTGAGCGTTTTCCACATGCTCTCCTTGGCCATCCGCGTGCCTTCGTGGGAGGGGTCTGCTCAGCTCTTCTCCCATGTTTGACCGGGTCATTTCTTCTTGTTGCGTTTCATGACTTCTTCATAGATCTTGCCAGATAGATGGTGTGCAAATGCCACTTCCCTTCCGGCGGGGAGTCTTTCTGTCTGCATGACAGCTACTTCTACAGTGCAGAAGGCCTGAATCTTGATGTAGCTCCATTTTTGTATATTCTTTTGTTTCTTTTGCTGTTGGAGATGAAGCCGCCGGCATCTCCGGAGCCAATGCCAAAGAGCAGTGCTTTCCCTGCATTTTCTCCTGCGCATTCAGGTCTCACATCCAAATCTTTAATTCGCTTTGATTTCATTTTCATTGATGGCGGGACAGTGTTCTGGTTTCATTCTGCGGCCTCACCGTCCAGTTTCACAGTGTCACTTGTTGCGGACACTGTCCTTTCTCCAGCGAGCATGCCGGGTGCCTCTGTCATGTCCATGTAAGTCAACACAAGTGTGGTTCATTCCTGGCCTCTAGGTTCTGTTCCGCTGGCCCTCTGCCACGCCACACTGTTTTGATACTGTAGTTCTGTAGTATGATTTGAAGTGTGGGAGCGTGAGACCACCATCCTTCATTGTCAGGATTGCTGTGGCTACTCAGAGTCCTGTAGTTCCATTATGAATTTCACTAGTGTCTGTTCTATTTTTTGAATAATGTCATTGCAACTTTGATAGAGATTGTATTGAATCTCTATATTGCTTTGGGTAAGGTAATCACTTTTTTAAAAGACTTATTTATTTTTGCAAACAAGACCTGGGGTGTGGGCCAGATGTGTGTGTGTGCGGGGGGACAGGACTCCCCAGAGACAGAGTGGGGAGCAGGAGGGGTCTGCTCCTGGGCCACTCGCTGGCCAGGGATTGAAGTCATGCGCAGTGGCTGTGACGGCTTGAGAGTGCTGGTACTTTAACCCCGTGCTCCCAGGGAGGCCCCAGATAGTCATTTTAATAATATTAATTCCTCTAACCAAGAGCAGGGACTATGTCCATTTGTTGGTGTACGCCTTCTATTTCTTTTAACACCGTCTTGTTGCTTATTTTGTGTAGGTCCTTTACCTCCTTTATTGAGATTACTCCTAGGTGCCTGATGCAGATGTAGGTGCCCACACACACGGCTGTTACATGTCATCCCGATGATTCTTCCCTTAGTGACCCTCTTTGCGTCTCATTTCTTTTCAGTTGGAAATTTATTTTACCTGATCAAAGTAGGGCTGTCCATGCCTTCTTCTATTTCTGTGAATTTAATTATCATGGCAATCTTGAACCTGCCAGCTGATGGGAAAAGATCTTCCATGTCCTTGTCTTGAGCCTTACACAGTTCTCTCCTTGTGGTGACACTCACGTTTCCTTGGGGACTCAAGGTGCTGTAGGTTGTATTTTTCCATCTGAAAACATGCAATGCTTCACGGACTTGCATGTCACCTCTGCCCGAGGGCCATGCTCTGCCCTCTGTATTGTTCTAGCTCTGGCTGCGGCGCTGCCGAACGGGCCTTTTGAAGTAGCTGTAGCTGGCTCTGGCCAGAGGTCAACGCCCTTCTGATTAGATCCCTGGCGCCCAAAGAATGGCAGGGTGTGTGAGGGATAGGAAGCGCTTCTGCTGGCGATGACGAAGTGTGCAAATATCTGAGGCATTCCCTGGTGTACCTCTGGACAGGTGTGTCAACTGCCTGTTGCTTTCTCTTACTCTTTCTCTTACTCTTTCTCTTACTCTTTCTCTGACCTCACTGATCACTGTTTACAAAACAGGTGCGTGCTAAGAGAGCCTGCCCCTGTCTGCCTACATCACCAGGAGCTAGAGAGAGGACAGAGACCTGGACCAAGGTCAGGACCTACAGACTGTCTAGCCAGGCACCCCTCCCCCAGAGGCACCCCTCCCCCAGAGGGACCCGCCTCTCCCCGCCAGGGCGCAGGGGACACAGGACTGGGTTCTTAGTTTAACCAGAGCCTGGGTTCTCCACGGCCCGTAACAGAGAGGTGTGAACAATTTACCCACAGGTAAATTTCCTGCAAAGAAATTTGAGGTGCGCACAACCGCCAGGTGTGGGTGGATGGGCCTCAGGGAAGCAACGGTCGCTCCAGGCCAGACTCACCGAGGGAGCAGAGCACTCGGTCAGGCCACGGTCACCCCGCCGCCTCCTGTGCCGGCCTCCCCGTCCTCCGGCCTCTCCAGCCCCAAGGGCCCCCAAAGGCCGGTGCCCTTTGGCCAGGGGCGGTGACCCTGCTCCCTCCAGCTGTTTCTGCCCACCTGCCATCCTCCCTGCTTGCTCTCACACCCCCTTGCGCTCCGGTCCGGGGTACAGCGGTTGCCTCCAGCAACTGCTGTCCCTGGACACCTCCCGACTGGGGCACGTCATGACGCTCACGCCAGGGTGGCTTCTCTCGTGTCCAAGGGCCTTAGTGGCAAGACACCCATCCAAGGGCTCGAATGGCCCTTCCGGTCCTTCATGCCCACTGACACTGGTGACGGCAAACGTGACTTCCTCACACGGACACGGCCAGCCAACCCACACCAGAACGTCTGCACCTGCAGGACGCAGGTGTCCGCGTGGGCGGCGGGGTCTGCACAGCAGCGTGGGCCCGGTGACCAGTGCCGGCCCGCTGCAGCCCTCGGAGGTGGTCGAAAGAAACAGTTTCAAAGACAAGTCAGGCCGCTGGCAGCAGAGCGGACGGCGCCGGCCGACAGGGGCTGAGCGGAGAAGCGAGCAAGCGAGGCCACCCCCAGCCGGGTTCGCGCTGGCGTGGGGCATAGAGAAGACAAGCTGGCAAGACCCCCGGAAGTAGCTTAGACGTCGTGAACACGTGGCGGGAGGAGAAGGGCGGCAGAAGGGGCCGGCGGGCAGCCGGGCTCGCGGCGATGCCGGGGGCACGGGGCGCGGATGAGCCTCTCGGGGTGCAAGGCGGACTCCTGACACGCCGTGGCTTCAGAGACAAATGGCAAACTCGGGCAATCAAGAACACTGCAGCTGGCGTCGCGGGGGCGGGCGGCCCAGGTGCCGGCGTGGGCTGCTGCAGGGGTGGCGCCGGGGAGGGCCTGAGGGGAGAGAGGGCGTCGGGCTTGGTCAGGTCGTCAGT